GGGAGACCGGGGGAGGGTGCGGGGTGGGGATGTGACAGCCGGATTGTACTGCGGGAAGGAATATTGGGTGGCATTTGTGTCGAAAAAAAATACCAATATCGTTTTTTATATATATGAACAATAAAAAAAATGTTTCTTTACAAATTTCACAGCCGTGTTGGTCCTTTGCGAAAATGTTTTATAAAAGCGATTTCGCGGGCAGCGCTGCTGCGGTGCGACTCCACTCCACCGCGTGTCCCGGCCGGCACGAGGTTCGACGGTTTTCGCTGCTGGAAGATCATTCTCTCTAACACGTGGCAGGCTTTCGCGACCAATATCATCCATAAGAGGTTTTTATTTTTTGGGGGTTAGATCGCGTAAAAATGCGTCGTTAAACCCGCCACCACCCGACACAGCCAACTCGTCAGAGTTGTCACGTAAACAGAATTTGCCAAATCCCACCCTCCCCGGTTACTTTGTGCAAGAGCGCAGAAGCGTGGTCACCACATCTACGGCCCCTCTATTTAAGGAACGAAACAGGAGGACTACTCCACAAATCTGGCTGTCGCCTGATGAAGCTGGTTGTAATTACTGGCGAAACGTCGTACTCAGATTGTAAATGTTGTGGCTTGCCTCTCCAACACACCGGTGTTGCTGTACTATACACTACTATACACTACTACTATACACTACACTATACACTACACCACTATACACTAGTGCTGTACTAGTGACGAATTGGCCACGTTCTGTTTACGTGACAACCCTTACTAGTTGGCTTTGCCGGGTGGTGGCGGGTTTTAACGACACATTTATACATTTACGCGATCTAACCCCAAAAAAATCCTCTACCATGGAGATCATTCTCTGCAACAAGCAGCAGAAGCGGAACTCGTCTGAGCGTGATCAAGGGGTCGTGCTCCTGGGTGATTGAGGATTAGCGCAGGGGTGGCCAGCCTGTAACAGACCAAGAGCTAAAAAAAAAGTATTCTATGGGTCTTTCGGTAAAGCCACGTAGATAGAAAAATAATAAATAAAAACCACGACGTTTCGATCGCAACAGAAACAATCGTCTTCAGGTGAAAGTAGCCGTGAGCTCTGCAAGTGTATATAAAGTACTAGCTGTACTACCCGGCCTTCGCCCGGGACTTGGATCCACCACGCCCGGCCGCCTTTGTCTCCACGCCTGGCCGCCTTTGTCTACCCAGTGGCGATGTTCACACAGTTACTCGTTTTAGCCTGAGTCGACCGGTTCAAATAATCGTCACGGGTGGTGGCCGTGAACGGGAATCGAACTCGAGTCGCCGGGTTCGTAGCGCGGCGCGCTAACCACTACACTACAATGCGTTACGCTTCCACACAGACAAAGATAACAAAGATCCCCCATATAGCCTTAACAGACTGTAGGGGCAAGTGCTGGTAGTGAGCACCTATGAAGGCCGGAACGGTACACGAGGGGGTGGGTGGCCAGCACCACGCCCGACCGCCTTTGTCTCCCTAGTGGCAATGTTTACACACCGCACCAGGTACTCATTTGAGGCTGAGTCGACCTAGGGGAGGCCCGGGACCGGTTCAGATAATCGTCACTGGTGTTGGCCGTGAGCGGGAATCGAACACGGGTCGCCAGGTTCATAGCGCAGCGCGCTAACCGCTACACTACCGCTCCCCACACAGACACACACACAGTGACACACACAGACAGACACACAGACACATACACAGCGTGCTAACCACTACACTACAATGCGTTACGCTTCCACATGCACGGGTCACGTGACAGATTTGACGTCACAAAAAAATAATGCATTGATCTCCCCACCCCCCTTAAAAAAAACACAAAAATGTATTTTCATAATTTTTTCATGGTGTACAGTCTGGAAAGTACCCACATGGCAAATTTCAAGTTTGTTGCATGTCGGGAAGTACGCTAAACATTTTGACCAGACGCACATATTCACAACTTTGCCTTTTATAGATATGGAGCCGAGTGTATATGCATTGAGTTTTAGGCACAGCACGAGAGACATGAATGAGTCTTTGCTATTGTAATGCGTGTGTTCTACGTCATGCCCCTTTCGATAGAACAGCACGTGGTTTAAGGCTATTATTATCATCAATAACCTGGGAAATGAGACGATTGGGAAGCGGAACTCCAGAAATCCGGCAGCACGAGGGGTAAGGAGGAGGGAGCGTTTCACGGTGGCGTCTGCAGCCACTGGAGGCGCTGCATTCACATTCGTGAAAGAAAAAAAAACTAAGTAAAAAAAACCTACACCATCGTGCCATCGTCACAACGACAAAACACCCCGAGGAGAAAATCGGCGTTGAGAAATAACAATTGCGATCGTCTTCACTTTAGGCCCAATCATTTCGTTTGAGATCAAACAATGGTGACAACTAGTCGCACGCGCAAGCACAACTGTCTTCGATCTCCTCACATCGAAATGAAACATGTGCTTTGGTCCAACAAAACCATTATCGGTTTGCCGATCCCAATATCAAGCATGATTTGCTTGAGCAAGCAAACACTCTGAACTGGTGGTTTCAACTTTCTGGGACTCATCGGCACAAGTCGGGGCTTGTTAAACAACCAGACGTGACTGGCAGGTGTCTGTTGAATGGCCAGCGGGATGTGGTTCGACTTTTAAGGGCAATGGTTGGAAGTAAAAACGGTGAATGGAGCACAAACCACCATCACACGAACTCCGGTCGTCATCCTCGCAGCAGCAGCAGCAACTTCTGTGTGGCCATCGAACAGAGGCGGTGGCCACCGCATCGCGCGGCGCTTTCGGATGTGCTTCTGCGGCCGTCTGGAACGCTCTCTTCCTTCCGGTATTGGCAAGCAGACTTCAGCCGTGGACTGTGAAAAATCCAGATTGAAAAATCATTTCTTTAGAACTTCCTATTGGTGTTTTAGTCTGTTGTCCCCGCACCTCCCCGGACCTCTTGATTAGCTACGCACGGTGCCAAAGACGTTCAGCGTTCGCTCAACACAACGCACGAGGCTCGCCGGTGGCCAGTAGAGACCGCCATCTCCCTCTAGCGGCGAAAACACGAGCAACGCCTGCCGCTGTTCCTCCCAAGAACTTTCCTCTTCAACGGGGGTGACGGATTAACGAAGAGGTTTTCCCCTGGTAGGAGTGCCAACGAACGTTTGCCTATTATCGAACGGTCCGCCAAACGTTTCTCTGCACCTCCGCCAACAGGGCAACCGTGGGCAGCGTGGCATCGCCACAAAAGGGATTCATCAGCATCACGCAGCCATTTCAACCACACTGTTCAACTTTTCATTTTATTTTTACCAGGTACGGTCCCACTGAGCTACGTATAGCTCTTTCACAGAAGCGACCTGGCTATCACAAATGATAGCTAAACAAAGTGGCTTGTCACGTGGAAATGTACAGCAGCCAAATACTCTAAACGCGTGATGTCGATTATAAATGTGGAGGGAAAAACCGGAGGACGCGGAGAGAAATCCACGCGGCCACGGGGAGAAATTTCACGCGCACTCCAAATAAACAGGTGTCAGGGTCGGGATCGAACCGACGACTTCCTGTATACCAGGCGAAAGTAGTTAACATCTCTCCACCGTGGCGCCCACGGAATCCTGTGCGTACAGCGGCGTCATTTAACAACAGAAAAGAGCTGTTGCCCGCGTGGTTGCGCCCTTCCAAGGGCCGCAACAGACGAAACGTACGAGGGAGTTGCCAGATTCTGGGGCTGTGTGGTGGGGCGAACGGGGGGGGGGGGGGTGGCGGCACGGTCCACTCGCGCCGCGTGACAGCCTCCGACGTGGCCAGGATCGAGCGTGGCGCTGCTGGCAGGAGGGGAGAGCTTCTGCCGCACTCCCGATATCGCGTGGGTTCAACGAGACGTCACCCAGTTTAGTGTGCAACCCCTTTGGTCGATGCACTGCCGGATAAGGGGGGGGGGGGGGGGGGAGAAATACACCGTGCCGGGCGGCGGATGTAGCGGTTATTTGGGCATGCTGAACCACCCTTGCTTGCTTGTCGTTGTGGGTTGGTCAAAGTAGGGAAGCGATATGGGCGCTAAGCACAGTAAAACAATGGATTTTGCTACACTGCCCTCTGCTGAACACAACGAAGCCCTGGCAGCAGCATACAGCCAGCAACATACAGCACCTTGTTGTACACCGCGACCACCCACCCAGGCTCTCGGGACCTGACAAGATGGGGTTCATTCTGGGTGATTTGGCCAGGGGCTGAGACCATCGAGGGCAGATCGCTCTGTGGTCGAGCTCTTATACAGAGCGGTGGGTAGCCGAGTGGCACTGCCGAGAACCTAGGGTCAAAGCCAGGGCAGCCACCCCGTGGCTAAACCAGCTTCCCCAAGCAGCGGCGGGTTTGACGTTCTCACAAATAATACGAGTTGTGGGAAGGAGGGAAACCCCCTCCCCCAACCTAGCCCAGCCGAGGGCCTACACCCACCAGATGACTGGCAAGCGGCTAACGGCTCCTCACTAGGCTCGGAGGAGACAGCTGCTATGGGGAGAGAGGGGGTCCATTTATTCGTATGAATGAACTTCTTTTGCACCGTACGTAGCCAACGGTGCTAATCGGAGGTGCGTCCATCAAACTGGGTGGGGGGGGGGGTGAAGGGGGGGGGGGTCTGTCGAGGTCTCTCTTGTCGGACGTAACGACGCGAGGCTCCGCGCTGCAACAAATCTGAGGATCGTCTTCGGCTGCCGTCACTGCCTCCCGAAAGCGTTCACACGAACGCCTACAAAGCCCTGCCATGGCTTTTCTGCGACTTGGAACAACGCAAGGGTAGAAAGGTAGGCCAACACGGGGATGTGAAATGCTTACATTTGAAAGAAAGGTTTCCCACCCCCTCCCCCAAATATATTCCAATTTGTACAACTTGTATTATTGTTCTACTGCGCCATCGGCATTATTGGGTTCTTGGTATTATTGCGCTATTGTTATGATGCGCTGTGGTATTATTGGGCCATCGGTATTACTGGGCTTTCATATTGTAATAAAGCACTTCCACGACGAATGTTGCCTGGCGTCCTTTATTTATTATGACTGCACAGCTCCGCTCTCCCTCTCTCTCTCTCTCCTGCCGTGACGCGCGCTCTCCCTCTTCCACCGTCGCGGCGTCTCTCTCTCGCTCGCTGGCGGCTCGCTGGGAGGAGAGAAGCCTTCGCTGGCAGAGCCCACGACGTGGCCCGTGGCGAGTAGAGGTAGGCGGTGATGCAGTTCGGACTCCAGGCTTCCCACATCGACCAAGAGTCTCCTCTCACTGCCTCTCTTTATATTGCTCTCGGCGGAGCTAAGCTCGGCCTCTAGCCACGCCCCTCGTGGAACCTTCCAGATGGTTCCCGTACATATCCACGAGCTCCGCCCGTTACCTTGGGCCCAGGTGGAACCCTTCTGATTGGATACAAGTTACCCAGCAGCGACTATGCAATTACCCCTCGTTGTCCCTTAAATGGCGCTCTCTCTATTATTAAACTAACGGTATTACTGTGCGATTGGTTTTGTGTCACAAGGCAAATAAATTTCCCACTGGCAACAGTGGGAAACGCAACAGCCCCTGTTGCACGCAACAGGGGCTGTTGACGGCGTCACGAAGAAGCCTCTCTCGAGTTACTTCTAAAAAAACCTCTCCGTCCACACGAGAGGCGCGAGCGCCTCGCGACTTCGTTTCCGCGACCCTTTCCATCGGACAGCTCCAACCGAGTTTCGAGACTCCCCCCCCCCCCCTCACAGGAGGGCTCCTTGCTCGGGGCGCTGACACCCAGGCAGGCCGACACCACGTTCAGGGCGACAAGCAGCCGGGCTGCTGTCGCTCCACAAAACCCCCCCCCACCCCCCGCCCCCCGCCCCCCCCCCCGCCCCCCAGTGTCCGCGAGCCGACGTCCTCGGCCGACGACGACCGCCGTCTAGCTCGCGGCGCCGGGCGCCTGCGGCTTCTTTTTCTGCTTCCCCTTCGCCGCCTTCCTCCGGCCGACTCTCCCCTCGCGCAGCGCCGCGATGGCGGACGCCGGGACCCGTCCGTCCGCGGAGGCCGCGGGCGGCGTGGCCAGCGCTCCGAACTGCGTGGGGTAGCGCGTCTTGCTGGCGGTGCGGAACACGGGCTGCGCCAGGAGGTGCGCCAGCTGCTTCCTCAAAGACTGCAGGCGCCACTGGCGCTGACGTTCGCCGTCCTCCGAGCGGGCGCCGCCTGCGGGAGAGGAGAAACGCGCCGGCGCTCAAGTCCAGCCCCGAAGTCTCTGGGCCTGATTTCGTTTCACGGGATTCGCCCGAATTCACGACGACGGAAATTGGGCCGAGTGGAAGCAAACCGGGGAGCCAAACGTGCCACCAACCAAAATTTCCGGAGGTTGAAGGAACATTCCATTTCATGCTTTCATCTGTTACAGGGGTGTTTGTGGGTTAGATCGCGTAAATATATAAATGTGTTGTTAAACCCGCCGCCACCCGACACAGCCACTTAGTAAGGTTTGTCACGTGAACAGAACGTGCCAATTCGTTACGAGTACAGCAATTGTAAATGTTGTGGATTTGTGAAGATAAATGTGGTTAACAACACATTTGTATTTACGCCATCTTCCCCAATAAACCTATATTATGGATATTGGTCGCAAAAGCCTAAGTGTAAATACTTTTAATCTGACAACAGCTCTTTCGCAGGTATTTCTGCTAAAGAGCCGCTCAACTCGCGCGACAACGCGAGTGGCCGCGATGATAACAACGGCGATGATGGAAGTTTGTCCATCAACTCGAATTCTAGGGGTCAAATCCGACTCGACTCGACGCGTGACCTCGAGTTGGCTGCCCACGGAGGCGACGCGTGCGTGGTGGTCGCTCGAGCGAGCGGAGGATATTTCCACGCGGGCAGAGGAGCCAAGTGATTGGGCGGGGCGAGGCGAAGGGCGGGCGCTGTAACGGCGCGAGGGCTCACCCATGAGCATGTCGTCCTCCAGCTCGATGTCCATGGCGTCCGCCGCCTTCTGGAACCACGAGTTGTGATGCTGCGCGCGGCTGTGGTGGTACAGCTCCTTCTCGATGCTGCGTGCCAGCGCCACGCGGGCCTGCAGCGCGCGCACGCACGCGGAGAGGTCGCGGGGTCACGGTCAGCAACGTGCGGAGCCATCGGCGATGCGACCAACATCAGTCAGCGGCACCGCAAACAGCCAAACCATCAACCCGCGACACAATCATCTCCAAAGACAAAGAACACCCGTATAGCCTTATTAACAGGCCGTTGGGGCAAGTGCCGTTAGCGAGCACCTATGAAGGCCGGCACGGCAAACGAGGAGGTGGGTGGCTAACACCACGCCCGGCCACCTTCGTCTCCCCAGTGGCGATGTTTACACACCGCACCAGGTACTCATTTGAGGCCGAGTCTACTTAGGGGAGGCCCAAAATCAGTTCAGATAATCAGCCCCGTGTGTTGGTCCTGAGCGGGAATCGAACTCGGGTTGCCGAGTTCATGGCACAACATTGCAACATTACACTACCGCTCCCCCCATAACCATCACCAACATGATCAGTCCTGCCGCCACCACCACTCCCATCACGTGCATAACAACCGCCAAGACTGCCATCAACGCCACAATCACTGCCATCAGAAACAAACAGCCTCCACCATAAACGTCACTACCAACACCACCACCCTTATCAACACCACGACCGTCACCATAACTCCCCCACCACCCTCGCCACGCTCACCACCACCCGCCCTCTCCCCAATCCCGATCACTCTCACCCCCATCAGCAACACTATGTCTGTATGTATGTTAAAAAAACAATTTTCGCACTGTACGTAGCGAATCAGAGGTACGGCGGAAGCATAAACTAAACACAAAAAGCAGCTCTAAAGAAATGAGTTTTCAATCGAGATTATTTAAAAGTGTAAAGAGAGCGTTCCAGACGGCCATCGCCATCACCGCCCCCCCCGGCCCCCACCTCTGCTGAACGACGCTCACCTTGACGGCGGTGAGGTTGTGGGGGTCCACGGGGAAGCAGGGCAGCTCCTTGTCCCCGCGGAGCGCACGGCAGATCTTGCGGTAGGCCGGCACGTCGCCCGGCCCCACGAGGATGAGGCTGAAGCCTTCGCGTGTGGCGCGTGCCGTGCGCCCGCTCCGGTGCACGTATGTCTCGGACGTGCGCGGCAGCTGACGATGGAGACGCGACGACCATCGCGGTGGCGACGGCCATGAAGGCGATGATGGTAGCGATAATGGGGAAACAATGACGACGGTGAAAAAGAAAACGCCGGTGAAAATATGGTGAAAACCACGATGACAATAATAATCATAACAATAACAATGGTGACAAGATGGCGATGATGAGAACGATGATGACAAAGATGACAATTGGGATGCGAAAAAGACAAGGGAGGGGTGGAGGAGGTGGCAAAGACCACGCACTCATCATTAGCACGAGGTGTTTGAAGGCAGCCAAAAGATACATTTCGGATTCTTAGGGTTCAACATTAAGGATGACTCAAATTCAAGAGGCAGAGCGAAGAGCGACAAGACCGCCTGCGACCATTCAGGGTGACAGGACGACGGTGAGGAGCACGCTGGCTGCATTTGTACCACGGTGGCTAGATGTTAACTACCTCGCCTGGTATACAGGAGGTCGTGGGTTCGATCTCTACCCGGGAGCCTGTATATCTGGAATTTGCACGTTCTCCCCGTGGTTGCGTAATTTTTTCTCCGGGTTCCTCCGGTTTTTCCCTCCACAGTTAGAAACGTGTTTTTAGAATATTCTTTGGTTCTTTCGGTAAAGTCACGTAGATAGAAAAATAATCATACAAATAAAGTGAATAAAAAACACTAATGTAGACTGTAGCCTGGTTCTAAATCGGAGTGAGTGTACTGGCAGTCTATAATGTAGACTGTAACCTGGTTATTAAGTTTGGTGAGTGTACTGGCAGTCTATAATGTAGACTGTAGCAATGGTTATTAAGCTGGGTGAGTTAAGTATTCTATTCTTGTGTGTTTAGAGTATTCGGCTGCGATAAATGTTCACGTGATGAGCCACTTTCGTTGAGCTATCATTTGTGGCCAGGTCGCTTCTGAAAAAGAGCTACATAGCTCAGTGGGCCTTGCTTGCGAAAATAGAAAAAAATGGTTTATAGTTTGATTTGCAAACAGAAATGCGCTTTCATCACGATCAGCAATCGGACGGACGGAAGGGCAGCACCGCGCACCTGGTAGTGGATGACGTGTTCCACGTTCGGGATGTCCAACCCACGGGCCGCGACGTCTGTGGTCAGCAGCACGCAGCTGCAAACGAGAACGCGCTTAGTACGGGGGGGGAAAAAAGACCACAAAGATCCCCCCCCCGTATAGCCTTATCAGGCTGTTGGGGCAAGTGCTGTTCACGAGCAACCATTACGGAAACGCGCGCGCGCACCCATGCATCGTTTGGACGAAGCCACCACATCACCACCTTTCGTCATCGTCGTCATCATAGGCCGTGAATCGAACTGAAATCCTCGTCAAGCGAATAGAGTTTCACGTGGGCATCGCCGGACGCAGAGGCATCGAGAGAAAATCGCAGAAATTCCCATGAGAAAATCTCGCAGGAGGCTGCCAGGTCGCTGCACTCGACGCCACGCACGGCACAAGGTGGCGCACGAAAAAAGTCTTCGTCTCAATCACCACCAACACTGTCACATCGCCACCACCATTTTCTGCACCTCCGAAAAAGCACGTTTTGGCAAGGTACGGTGCGAAAGAAGTTCAACATACGTACATCACCACCGCCACCACCACTTCAACAAACAGCGACAACAACCGCCATTCGCCACTAAGCGGCGGTGACGTCACCACGGCGCCTGTGCCAGGCTACGTGCACATTAAGGCCACGTGAAGCATCGAACGCCCGCCGGCAGGAGGTCACGGGGCAGACCCGGCAGGTGCCACGGGTCGACTGACCGAGGTGACCTGCCCGACGCACCACCCGCGCCAACTTGCTGCGCATTTAGCCGCCCGGCGCTCCACCATCGCCACCGACCAACCGCACGACCACCGCCACTACCTACACCACCACCGGTGTTGCCCCCCCGCCCCATCTCACCTCTGGCGCTCGGCGAACCTCTCCAGGTTCTTGAGCCGCTGCTTCTGGTGCATGTTGGCGTGCAGCGGCAGCGCCTCGCAGGCGAGAGCACCCAGCAGCCCGGCGAGGCGCTTCACGCACTCGATGCTGTTGGCGAACACCATGGTGCGGCCTGGGTGGCGCAGCAGGAAGTAGTAGAGGTAGTGGTCCTTGTCGTCGGCGTCGCAGTGCACGCGCGACTCCATCAGCGTCTCCGCCGTCGCCTCGCGCCGCGTCAGGTCCACCACCTTCGGCTTGCCTGGGGTCAGGGGGTAAGGGTTGTGTGTTCGGGGTAAGGGTTGTGTGTTCGGGGTAAGGGTTGTGTGTTCGGGGTAAGGGTTGTGTGTTAGGGGTAAGGGTTGTATGTTAAGGGGTAAGGGTTGTGTGTTCGGGGTAAGGGTTGTGTGTTCGGGGTAAGGGTTGTGTGTTCGGGGTAAGGGTTGTGTGTTAGGGGTAAGGGTTGTATGTTAAGGGGTAAGGGTTGTGTGTTAGGGGTAAGGGTTGTGTGTTAAGGGGTAAGGGTTGTGTGTTCGGGGTAAGGGTTGTGTGTTAGGGGTAAGGGTTGTGTGTTAGGGGTAAGGGTTGTGTGTTCGGGGTAAGGGTTGTGTGTTCTGGGTAAGGGTTGTGTGTTAAGGGGTAAGGGTTAGGTGTAAGGATTAAGAGTTAGGTGGTAGGGGTAAGGGTTGTGTGTTAGGGGTAAGGGTTGTGTGTTCGGGGTAAGGGTTAGGTGTTCGGGGTAAGGATTAAGAGTTAGGTGCTATGGGTGATGGTTATGTGCTAGGGGTAATGGCTAGGTGTAACGTGTTAGGGCTGAAGTGTCACCTCGGATGCCAATGCGCTGAATCAGCATCTCGAGCTTCCCGCCGGCGTCTTGCTGCGACGGCGCCGCCTGCTTCTTGCCCTGCTTGAAGGGCAGCGGCCGCTTCCCGGCGGCGCCGGCGAGCGTGAGCGTGGCCGAGAACACGAAGGTCTGGCGGCGCGCGTTGAACTCCGTGCCGGCGAGCAGCTCCAGCAGTTGAGAGAGCTCGGCAAAGTGACCGCGCTCCACCATGCGGTCGGCCTCGTCCACCACCAGGCACCTGGCAGTGCGTGGGGGAGCCGGCGCCGTAGCGGTTAGCGCGCTGCGCTGACGGAACCCGGCGATCCCGAGTTTGATTTTCGCTCGCGGATGACAACCAGAGTTCGATTATCTGAACCGGTCCTGGGCCCTCCCTTCCCCCTAGGTCGACTCAAACGAGTACCTGGTGCGGTGTGTAAACGTCGCCACTGGCGTGGTGCTGGCCACCCACCCCCTCGTGTGCCGTGCCAGTCTTCATAGGTGCTACTGCCTAACAGCACTTGCCCCAACATTCTGTGAAGGCTATACGGGGGGTCTTTGCCCATGTACGCGTGGGTGTAAATGGTGAGCAGTAGCGTAGCGGTTAGCGCACAGTGCTACGAACCCTGCGACTCGAGTTCTTTGGGGTGTAGTAGGTGAGCGTGGGGGAGGGTAGAGTTATTGGGGTGGCGGGAGGAGGGGACAATACGAGTGACGTGGGTGGCGTTGGTAAGGTTGGTGCGGTTGCTGTGGGCGGTGCAGGTCACACGGCTGACACGGGTGGTGCTGGCAGTGTGGTTCAGGTAACCGCGATGCTACAGGTGTCACAGGTGGCTCGGTTGACAGAGTTGACAGTCATCCCCCCCCCCCACCCCGTTGGTGCTCACCTGAGCGAGCGCATGTGGGTGAGGTGCGGGTGCCCCTCGCGGATGAGCTCCCAGAGCCGCCCCGGCGTGGCCACCACCACCTCCGGGTGACGGCTCAGCACTCGCTGCTGCTTCTGCTGGGCCATGCCGCCCACCACCACCGCCGTGCAGATCCCTGGGGGGCACGGCGTCACAAGCGGTGGGGTACAACGGGGGCATAATATTGATTAGATGCGGTTTGCGCGCCGTTCACAACACGTTACTACGCAGTGCCATAATCAATACGGCCGTTACATATTGCAGCTTTAATTGCAATTCGATGAATGTCAACAATTTTTACACTCTCAGATGGACAAAAAAAATACACAAAAAACAAATGACATCTCGCTGCGTTTCGAATGCGCCGCTGTGTAAGGGCGCCACCTCTGTCCTTGGTCGCGCGCGATACGTCTGCCATCCAGTGGCAAGAGTTTGAGGAGAAGAAATATCTGACGGGAATACCAGGGTTATGGCCCTGTTCATTCGGAGATTTTTTTCATCGGTATTTTATTTTGCTTTTATGTGCCGGCTTCCACGTCCAATGTTGTGATTCAGAATTCGTTTATTTTGAATTAGATCGCCGTGTATCGCCCAATGCCGATTTTCAACGATAACCTCTTGCCGCCCCACAGACCCTAAAAAAAAAGTCAGAATCGCTTTCCTTAGTTTTCAACGTTCCGGTCTATTGCCGAAAACCCAAATCAATCGGCACATCTGCCCCACACGCGACAAACTTTGATTGGCCCTGTCGGGTGGCGGAGGGGATGGCTAAACATTGGCACCATCCCTCCCGGACGATCTAACCCAAAAAGTTATTAATGATAATTTGTATGTTTTTATCATGGGTAACACGAGACCTGTACAACACGCAGGGACAGAAAAACCGTGGTGCGAGGGACGACTCTCGGTGTTTCAGAGCCATACTTACATCAGGGGGGGTGATTTTATCTCCAGTGTGCCTCAAAAAAATGTTAACACTTACATGAGACTATCATTTTTTATGGCATATAAACGAGTAATACGCTGTAACATGCTAACAAATGTAATGTTAATAACTTCAAAAAGTCAAAGAGTCTCCCACTTGTTCGCCATCGTTGTCAACGCGTGGCCTGGAATCTTCTCCAGGTGGCCTCCAGAGCGCGGAGGCGGCAGCGCATGTCACCGTGGCGTTGTTGTTGCAAATTTTCACAAGTGTGAACTTGTTTTTTTTTTTAAAGCACCCCGAACGGGATCAGGCGAGCGTACCTGTGTGCCGTGCCGCGGCGTCCAGGTGCTGCTTCACCTGCACCGCCAGCTCCCTCGTCGGCGTCACCACGAGACCGAGCAGCGGCTGCCGCGGCCGCCAGGCCTCGCGCTTCGAGGCGACGGCCCCCGGCGCGTGAGAGTCCGCGGTCGGGTCGAAGTCAATGGGGACGTCGTCGACGACGCGGACGCAGCCTCGGCCCTGCGAGTCGAGCACGCCCGTCTCCGGGCCGACGGCAGCGTCGTCGTCGGCGTCGTCGTCGGCGGCAACGTCGTCGTCGTTGACAACGTCGTCGTTTTCTGCGACTTTGTCTCCTTGGGGAACATTAGGAGGAGGATGAAGGAGGAGGATGAAGAAGTTGGTTAGAATTTCCCCGAGATAATAAGTCTGGGGCGCTTTGGAAGCATGGTCAAGCGAAGTCAATCGACTTACTCCAGCAGAATTGTAATAAAGATAAAACATTCGGTTACCGAGTACAGAACCAAAGGCTCAAAGCGCCAAGTGGCCAGCAACAAAGAGCACTCCCGAAGGTGTCAATGATGAGATTGAACAATTTTCTCGAATTTGCACGAGATGCTTCGTTACAATATGAACTCGATATGCACGCAGAGGCGTTTAGATTTATGACATCACAGGCGACCTCCAGTCACCCCTCTCTCTCCCTCTCTCTGCGGGTTACCTTCGTGCGAGTCGCCCATCTCTCCCTCGGCGCCGTCGTCTGCCTGCTCCGCCTCGCGGCTCTCCCTCCACTCAAGGATTCGCTGGATCATGGGAATTCCGAAGGCGAGGGTTTTGCCGCTGCCTGGGGAGAGAGGAGGATGCGGCTGCAGCGCGAGCGGTGGAAACCCCCCCCTCCCCCCACTCTCGCACAACGAGCGACGGAGCACACGAAAACAAAGATTCCCCCCCCCGCCCCCTATAGCCTTCAACAGGCTGTCGGGGCAAGTACGTTTGTAGAACTTCTTTCGCACCGTACGCAGCCATCCGCGCGAATCGGAGATCCGGAGGAAGGGCGACAAAATAAACACAAAAAAGCAGTTTTACAGAAATGGGTTTACCGATCTAGATTTAACACGCACGGGCGCGTGCGTGTTCAACATTGGCACACACACACACACGCACGGGCGCGTGCGTGTTCAACATTAGCACACACACACACGCACGGGCGCGTGCGTGTTCAACATTCGCACACACACACACACACGCACGGGCGCGTTCAACATTCACACACACACACACGCACGGGCGCGTGCGTGTTCAACATTCGCACACACACGCACGGGCACGCACCGGTCTCGGCGGCCCCCAGCACGTCGCGCCGGTCCCGGATGGCTGCGGGCAGCACGAGCGCCTGGATGGCGGTGGGCGCCGTGTATCCCATCTCGGCGAGCGCGCACAGCACGGGCTCCGGCACGTAGAGGCCCTGCCACGCGGACACGTCGGCGGCGACGCCCCCCTCCAGCGCCTCGCCGTCTAGCGCGACGGTCGTCCACGGGCGCTTCTTGGCGCCGCTCGTCGCCTTCTTGGGGCCGCTCGTCGCCTTCTTGGGGCCGCCTACGACGAAGGAGAAAGAGGAGAAAGGGGAGATGGCCCGGACAAAATTGTATCCTGCGCTTAATTTTGTTCAATTTCAGCTCGGAGAATTTAAGTTACCGGCGTGACCGTCACGTGAAGATGGTGGGAAGGTGCTGCCCACCTCGACCGTGTGGACCAGAGGCCACTTTAAAGAGATCTTAAGAGGAAGCTCCGTTGTATCCACGGCTGTTGGACGCTCTTTATCATGGCAGGAGATACGACTGCATATTCAGTTTCATGAGGTGACACGGAAAAGTATAATCGGGATAAAATAGAAAAAGATTCCAGTTAACTTTTTTACAAAACCAATGAAGGCGACACCAGAGTTCTACCAAGACAAACGAAACGGCCACTACCTTCGCTCGCCGGCGCTTGCTTTTCCGCACCATCCACGATCTTCTTCTTCGTGTTCTTCTTGTTCTTCTTGTTCTTGTTCTTCTCGTTCTTCTTCACCTTCTTGCTGCTTCCACTGGTGCCGCTCTCATCCTTCTCTTCACCACCCAGGGGCTCCATCTCCTCGTTGGCCTCATCATCGTTGTTGCCCTCATCATCGTCACCCGCGTCGTACCCAACGTCCACGCCGGACTCGGCCGCCTCCTTCTCCAAAGCGGCTTCCAACTCCATCCACTTCCTCTTCTTCTTACTCGTTTTCTTCGTCTTTTTATTCCCCTCCTCCTCATTCTTCTTCTTCCTGGCCTCTTTACGAATCGCGGTGGCGTCGGCGTCGTCGCCGCCGGCGGTGCCGTCGTCATTCGCCGATTCGGTCGGCTCGGAGTCCGTGTCCGTTCTCAGTTTCTTAGCCGGGCTCGGTCGGGCCGCAGCCCCTGCCGCCGCCTCCGCCGCCGCCTTGCGCTTGTTCCTCTGGTCCTCCTTCTCGATCGCCTCGGGCCGCACCATCGTGTAGTCGTGCAGCTCCTCCATGCACACAAAACCGTCCAGGTCGCCGCTCGCCAGGAACTCCGGGTCAAGGGTCACCTGCTGCCACTGCCCGACGACGCGCACGCCGCGGCTCTGTCCGCGGAAGAGGCCACCTCCTCCTCGTCCACCGCGGCCGCCGCGACCACCTCTTCCGCCGCGGCCGCCTCTTCCGCCGCGACCGCCACCCCCGCCCCTCATTGCGCCTGGGGAATGATGAGCAGAGTGAGCGGCACCCGTCAATTTTCTATTTTTTTGTAATCGTGGTCGCCAAGCGCAGGCCCAAAGGCCGATGACGCCACACAGCTAACGACAAACAGTACCGCCGGAGGTGTAATAGTCGAGAGTTAATACGATACGTGTCTCGAATTGAGCGAGGTTGGAGGAAGTTTTTTGGAAAAAACCACGGGAGGGAAGTTCAAAGTGGAGAAGAGCAAGGACAGGGGCAGTAGAGAAGTGTCATCACCTGCAGTGTGGCGAGTTGGTTAGTGTGCGTGGGTGAGCGGGTAGAGGAATCAGTTCGTGGAAAGTGACCGTGGTAGTAGCGACACTGCTTTTTAAAAAAATCACACGTGGTAATCCTAGTTGTGTTTCTCGAACTTTCAATTCTGACAATCCCAGATAAACATATTTGCAGTTATTCCAATCATCAGGTGCGTGCAGTATGCTGCGTGTTAAATGTAAAGCTGCACTGTGGGGATGTCGCTTTTACTGCACTCTGAGAATTTTTTGTGTAACGCCGTAACATCAACAACTCGTCGAGGGACGGCCTTATTACAGGAATTGTAAAATGTTGTGGGTTATTTTTAACTCTACGACTTACATCTCAGTTTGTTTTATGTTCCGATTTGAAACCTCATTTTAGGTGTTCTAGCTCAGAATTCATAAACTGTGTATTGGATTCATGCATGTATCTGTGAGGAGCTTTGAGTAGGTAACCCCTGGTACAGGTCTAGGGTTTTTCTCCCCACACCGAAGCCAAACACAGATGAATGGAATTGGTCAAACATCCCAATGTAGCAGAGCCATGGACAAACTGTAAAACTTTTTCAGATAAATATGTAATTCATTTTTTTTATTGTGGAAGTAAAACTCCGCCTGTGCTGCAGGGCCCTTCTGAATAGCTAAGTCTTCCTAGATAAATAAATTACATTATAAGCACCACCTAGAGCTCTCGTTCGAGCACAATGCTTCACAATAAACAATTAGCTAACAACGGGTTTATAGGTTACAACCACTATTCGCACACACTATTCTTATCGATTCAACCCCCTTGGCTACATCACGACGTGTTCGTTATACGTATATCCTGGTCTCGGTCATGGCAATGTGGAGCTTTCATCGTCAATGGGGACAAGCGCCCCCACCATTACTCGCTTAATCATGGAAACAATTTCACTTGAGCTGTAGCCTATAGGTTCACCCACCTTCCCAGGTCCTATTGTATTGTAAAAGTACCATATAGGTTCACAATTCACCTACTGACTCCGATTCCCGTTAGATTCACCGCTAAGATGTACGGGAATAAGTTCACACATCCCAACTTCCAAGGAGGTTAACCGCTGATCTTTGGAGTTATAGGTTCACATACTGCCCTGTGGTTCTGGGTAGACTCACTTCCGAGCTGTAAAAGTTCAAACACCGTCCCCTGTTAACACGAGTTTATCTCCTCGTGTGAGGTGTACCAATACCGGTTCGCATAGTGTCCCGGGTCCGAAATTAACTTTACCACCGATACATATTACATTCACCACTATGGTTACGCGCGCGCGCGGCTTCTCGCTATGTCCACCTCTCGGCTGTACAAAATGCAAGTTCCCCCACAGTCCCCGGTTCTCATTCGGCTCAGCTCTCCTCTGAGCTGCACGTGTATAGGTGTACACGCGGTCCCCGGCTCCTGTAACATCCAAAGCGTTGCGTAGAGCATCACAGACCCCCAAAGCTTGCGGGCGCATGAGTTGTGTTCCCAAACATCGTACCTTCGCTGTGAACCTTTACTCGGTAGGTCGGGAAACCGGGTATATAATAATAATCCAAAAAGGGACTGAAACGCAACGTTTAAATGATAAACGTTTCTGCCGATGAAAGGCTACACGAGACGCACACGTGTTGCCATGCGCGCAGCCATGACAGTGGGCAGGCTTCGCCAAAGACGGCGCGCCTCATTGGTCGAGACGTGCGCCCGCGCGGACCGACCCGGCCGAGGATCTTAGCTGGCTTCCAATTGGTTGGATGCACCCTACGTCACTCGAGCGAGGTAGGCGTGGTTTGGATATCGTGAGGTTAGGCTGAGTCACTGGGGGCACTTCCCATGCATTTGTTTATGTGACCACCAGAATAGTGAAGTATGGTCAAACAAACCCTCGCGAACCCGCGTCGGCGTGGGGGGGGCCCTCATCCACCAGTGAACTCAATGCATCCGGCAATAACACCGTGGCTGTGAAGCTACATCACTATGAGGACGTCACGCGATTTGGGCGGATTTTTTTTATTCCCCCCTCCCCCCCTCGTCACACGGCGTTACAAAAAGTCAGACCCCCCCCCCCTCAAATATGACGTCACAAAGCTCTGCCCCCCCCCCCCAAAAAAAACATATTTCCATTTTGAAAATAAAACTTGCTTCAAATCGCTTTAAACTATTGTTGTTGTAGTGCGTATTTAATGTGGCGCTGCGCTCTGATGTTGTAGGAGAAAACATTTATTAAAAAGGAGGCGTTGGAAAGCTTAAATTTAGCATAAAATTAACTTGAAAATATTCAACGTCTAACTAAAACTGCAGATGTTCAGAATATTATATTGAAATTCTCTTACAATTATAAAATATCAAAAGTTATTATAACAATTAAAAACACTACTTGAAACTCTGTAGTAGAACGAAGCAAAATGGAGAGTACAATTATAACAATCACATATTCATTTAATCATTAGAATCAAAATGTTTAGTAACAATCATTCACATTTTTTTACAAAATGTATGCTTCTCCATTCTCCCATGGAGGAGCAAAATGCTCCTTCGTGGAATAAATAAAAGGTGACCTTAGTAAATTAAAATAATCAAATAGTTAATAATGAAAATTGATCAAAATTAGTGTTGTTATAACAATTCTATTTAAATAATATTTACGTAAAGTTGCACAATTTGATGTGACGTCACAGATCTCAAACCCCCCTCCCCCCTCGTCACAAATGTCTGACCCCCCTCCCCCCCCCCCCTATGTGCGTGACGTCATTTATGGACGGCCCCTTGCCTCATATATAAATTTTGACTTAAAACTTTCGTGACTGCAGGAATTTATATTCTATGGTTCTTTCGGTTCAGTCACGTGCCTCATATATGTTTGATTTATTTTAAAGCCATGGGTTTTTATTTGTGTGTTAACTGTGCTCGTGACACCACTGGACAACTCAGCAGCTGCATCACCAGATAATTCGTGTGGCTTGCAGCCAGCAGTGGAGTGACAGAGTGCCAGCGCTCTGCTCGGGCAACGCACACACGGTTGTCTGACGGATGGACTGGCCCACACCACAGTAATGTGGAATTTATGCCGTGAAAGATGTTCGTCGTTTCGCTTATAACTCAAGAATCCAAAGGAAGCAATTGCAACGATGGACACTGCACCAAACACCTGCGAAACAATATTGTAACTCCCTTTTCCTAATTTACGTTTGTACTTAGAGAGGGCATGCCGTGACCTGGAGAGCGGACGATCAACATCGACATCTAACCTCTCAGCGATCACCGCCTCACTGCCATCTGCGAGTCGCCAAACAAGCGACGGATGTTTTAGCGAAAACCGGAGAAACGCGGGACAGCGCGCGGTGTTTGGACAAGGTGACGCGAGAGGAGTGTGCGATTACACGCCACTCATTATCCACAATAACAATTATAATTATTATAATAATTCAGGGCAGTATTTGGTAAGAGCGCCCTACATTGCTATGGCAAGGGCTCGACAACCTGCGGTGCTGCTCTTTAAATGCCTCCTGCTTCTTGACAGTTGTTTATTGAGGACCACCACCGTCTCGTATTCACCCACGCAGTGAATTGTGCGGCTCTTGAAATATCGAGGGTTTTTATTTTTGGAACAGAATTCTTTTTTTAAAGGTTCTTCTTGTTACTTCGGTTTGCCCCCCCCCCCTCCCGATAATTTGTTTAATTGATAAATAAATATACGTGTAATTAAAAAAAATATATTGGTACATAAATATAAGTATAACTATATAAATTGTTTTAATTGATACATAAATCTACGTGTAATAAAAAAAAATGATACGTAAATATACGTGTAATTTTATAAATTGTTTTAATTCATGAATAAATATACGTGTAACTTTAATAATTGGTTGAAATAGCTTATAGGACAAGAGTAAAAAATGCAATCTTTTTTTTAGACACCCCCTTTATTGTTGACTTCAACAATAAATGGGGTGAGAGGGGAAGGAGGAGGGAGAGGAAGTTGGGGGGAGGGGATGAGTGGAGAGGGAATTGGGGGGGGTCATGAGTGTGGTGGGGGGGGCAGCGGTGGTGTAGCGGTTAGGGCGCTGCGCTACGGACCTGAGTTCGATTCCCGCCCACGGCCACCAACACCGGTGACGATTATCTGAACCGGTGCTGCGCCTCCCCCGGGTCGACTCAGCCTCAAATGAGTACCCGGTGTGGTGTGTAAGCATCGCTACTGGGGAGACAAAGGCGGTCGGTGCGTGGTGCTGGCACAACCCAGCCCACCTCGTGTTCCACAGTGCCGGCCTTCATAGGTGCTGCTACTGGCTAACAGCACTTGCCCTAACAGTCTGTTACCATATTCTTTGGTTCTTTCGGTAAAGTCACGTACATATAATTTTAAAATATATATATATCTACGTGACTTTATTATTAGAACAAAAATAATTATAATATTTATTAATTTTTTATATTATAATAAAACAATTTTTTCTATCTACGTGACTTTACCGAAAGAACCAAAGAATATGAATTCCTGCAGTCACGAAAGCTCCAAATCAAAATTTAATATCATCATCTTAATATCGTCGATATGGGTTGTCATCATCATCATCACCACCATCATGAGATAAGTCGATCGCCAGTCAACGTCACAATCATCAACACGACCATCACAATAATTGAATTCATTGTTGTTGTTCTGCATCAAAGAATATGAATTCCTGCAGTCACGAAAGCTTTCAAAATCAAAGCCTGTTACCGGCTATACGGCTGGGGGGGGGGGGGGGTTAATCTTTGTTTTTGTGTATTTGATCCGTGTTGTCCTATCGCATGAAACAGCGCCGAGGGCCGTGTTACATAAGCGGCTGAAGCACGGCTGGAGCACGGCAGGAGGAACCTTGGGAGGAGAAGAACCGCATTTCAGTGGAGCTCAAGGTTGGGACTGCGTGCACTTCCCCTTCGGCTGGGCTGCCAACTTGCAGCGAGCCATTGTCTTTTCCGAGCTCTGCTATGAATGTTGTAAACATAAACCGCGACTCACGCTGCCACTGAATTTCTGAGGATTGTTATTATTGAACTAACGGAGATGTGTTATCCATGAAGAAGAAGAAGAAAACACATGCTGTATTCGTCCGGATTATAAGACGCTCCGGCAAGTAAGACGCACCCGGCGTCAATATGATTATACAGATCTGGTAACGCGTGCACACCTACCGGATTATGAGACGCAGCCCCAACTTTTTTATGTTAAGCACGAGGTTAAAAAAGGTGCATCTTTTAGTCCGATAGAGGCAAAATGATCTTCTGTCTCCACATAGGAATGGAATGTTAAAATAATGTAGTCCATCGGCTTATTGGCTTCCCAGACCAATATTGTCCACGAGGGTTCGCTTAAGCAAGCAAACTCTGGGCCGGTTTCAGACCTTCTGGGTCCCATCAGCAGAGCGCAGGCGTGTGATACAAATTCTGCATGGTTGCCAGATGAGTTTCCCTTTCATATCTTGAGATTGTTGGACATTGTCAAATCACTCTGTGGGGTAAGGGGTGGGGGGTTATTGTTTTGTTTATACCATAATAATAATACTAATTGGTGGGACTATTGTAGAGCAACCCTCACCGTGCCTGCTCCGGGTGCATTCGCACCGCCACGCCAGCTGCCCCTTGACCTTTGCCCGTCCCGACAAGCCCAGGGCCGTGCCCACTCGGGAGTTTGCATTAAACAAACTGCACACGTCCGTATAAAACCCATCATCATCATCATCCACGACTCGTGGGCGCGGTCAATGTAGGGTAGGGGGCTTCGCGTAAACACGCGCATCTTGATTAGGAGCTGTGTTTGCGTTCGGAGGCGCTCATTAAGCCGTTCCCACAATAAAATCCATAAAGTGCATCGTCATCATCACCGTGATCACTGAGACGTCGCTAATGCGCGAATAATGAGGATGAAATTGACAGCGCCCCCTTTTTGTTCGTCCCGCTGCTGAATTGGAGAGCACCTCACCACGCCGCTCTCGGTCGTACGCACTGCACCGTTGAACTTCTTTCGCTCCGTACGTCAGTCAGCCGTGGGTAGGGGGAGGGGGTTGACCGTAACTTTCATCACGCTGGTCAGCGCGGGGTTGGGGAAGCCAGGGGAGGAGGCAGAGACGTGGGAGCACAGTGGCGCGTTAGGACAACAGTGGATTTGTTTCTGTACTGTATAGCACTTAAATTTCGATTCAAAGCTTTCGTGACTGCAGGGATTCATATTCTTGGTACACGTAGAAGGGATCATTGGGACGCTGTCTTTCCGACAGCTCTGTTCTTCACCTGAGGACGGCTGCTTGCGTTGTGGCCGAAACGTCGTGAGAATTTTATTTTATTATGTTTAATTTTATTATTTCCCTTCTACGTGACTTTACCGAAAGAACCAAGAATATGTATCGCACTTGTGACACGCGGGGCATTGCAGAGGCCGCGAAGCAGCCTGTACAGAATAACAACGGCCTTGGTAAATAACTTCTCCCGGGCTCAAGGCTGCTGAGATTCCGCGAAAGCGCGATCCGGGTCAGGCCAGTGCACCCCGATTCCACATTAACCGGCGTCCATTCTCACTCCGCTGCTGGATGAAGACCACCCTCCACCTCCGAACACACATTCTCTAATCAACAACCCGCTGTGACCAGCGTGGCGAAGTATAGTTCAGACAACCTCCATGACCTCCACGGCGTGGGGAGACCAACTAGCATGAGAACAAGTGCC